CATGAGGTCACTGTGACCTTTGACCCAGTTCATGAGTCTGAGTGAACATTGGAAATAATTCGAGGAGACGAGATTCAGTTTGTGTCGTCGTGATGAAACATTTAATGATTTGAAGTCAGATTCATTCATGTTCACTGTGTTCCTGTTTCTTCCTCTTGAATATTTGATGATGAGGTTTTCGTGCTGACGCTCGAGCTGCTGCTGAAGTTCGTCCTTTAGAGTTTGAGTCTTTCCCCCTTTGATCCCTGTGCTGCGGCCGGTCTGACGTCCCGCAGAGTTTAGAATCAAGGTTTATTTCTGAAACTCTAAAGAGGAAAATTTAAAATATTACTTTTCTCATCTGTAGAAATCTGCTCTTCATCCCTTTTTGTTGTGATTCAGTTAAACACACGAATATATTCTCACCTTCATCATCTTCAAATGTTTTTCCGTGTCGCTGTGGTTCAAGGACGTTTGTGCTGTGACAACATCTGAGGTGAAGATTTGAAATCCTCTCTCCGTCCTCCACCTTCTCCTCGGGTTCATTTTCTAATTCCCCAGATGCGCATGTGTTGTTTGACTCTCACACACACGAGCAACGTTAACTCACGTCTGCTGTGACTTATTAAACATTCGCCTCCTCCACCGGATGATTGATATTCTCTCCTCGCCGCTCGCAGCCAAACATCCACCTGAGAGAGGAGCAAACATTTCTCTTGTCTGGCGTCTCCTTCAAGTCTCCATCTCTCAGGCGTGGCAGCACATTAACTCAGAGCAGGAGCAGGCTTCACTATTTCAGAGAAAACAAAATGAAGTCTCAACGTTTAACCACCAGCAGAGTTTGAGAGTGAAACTGACGAGTTGCATTTTAATGTGTCACCTTCCGTCCTGTGTCCTCATCATGTCCTGTGTCCTCAACACTTCCTGTGTCCTCAACAGAAAAGCCTCTCAGTGAAATCTGCTCTGGACTGAAATGCTTCAGCGAGTCTGGAGCATCGATCACGTCTCCATCACAGCGACTCACACACCAGAATCAACATTCAGCTCAGAGACAGAAAACCTGAGAGGAAGAGACGCTTCCATGTCTTCAGTGTCTTCAGAGACATCATTCAAATAAATATAGATAAATACCAGAAGTAAAAGTACTCATTGTGCCGATTGGTCAATGTCAGAATAATGTATTTTATGGACTTTATTGTACTGGACTTACTGTGCAGGTTACTTCAGTATATGACAGAACTGTAGTATAACAGTATCGCTCTGGGTATCCAGGCCCCGCCCATACACAAGCTCAACCAACCAGGAGTCTGTCTCAGCTGTCAATCACGACGTCTCAGCAGGTGATTCAACTGATAATTCATTGAGTCGTTGAAAACATCCATAAAGATTTTACCGTCCTCGACAAACAGGTGGGATTTAGTATAAACTCAGTAAATATCGCTTCCACCCCCCCACCTCCAGAATATTCTTACAGGAGGAACTCACTGTGACAGCTCCAGTACTTAATG